GTCTTAAAACCACAATTAACAGTATGGTTTCTACAGCTTTCACTTAGGAGCAAAAATCTGCTTTAAACTTAAAGGAAATAGTGCTGGGCAACAATTAATCGCGATTAATCGCATCCAAAATAACCGTTTTTGTTTACATAATATATGTGTGTGTACTGTGTATATTATTATGTATATATAAATACACACACATGCATGTATATATTTAAGAAAAGTATATTATGTTTATATATTAAATATATTTATATATAATATAAATTATATGAATATAAATATATACATATTTTCAAAATATATACTGTATGTGTGTGTATTTATATATACATAATAAATATACACAGTACACACACATATATTATGTAAACAAAAACGTTTATGTTGGATGTGATTAATTGCGATTAATCGTTGCCCAGCACTAAAATACAGATTTGACATTTATTGTGATAATTATCGATATCGGCTGATAATGAAAATTTTTATCGTGATCATTTTTTTGTCCATATCGCCCAGCCCTATTTACAACATATTTATCCTCACATTTGTAATCACCAATTGAAATACATACTCTGAGAATTTCTTGCTCTAAGCTTGTGTGTAGTGATGTAGAGGTGCTTTGCTTGGGTGAATTGGGCCTAGTTACATGGAGAATTTGTAAGACCATAGAGACTGAACTAATCTGGGTTAGTAAGATTCTCATTTGGGGGTGAAGAATGATAGAATGAAAGTTTGGGGACTACGATGGACAAATATAATAGATCATACTCCTAATTTCTGTTCCCTCTATATTTCTATTGTATTTACAGAAACACTATCTATTTATTTTATACTTAATTAAATCCATTGGTGTTCATCCCAAGTGTCTGAATCTCAGCAGTGTGAATTTGTGCCTCAGGACCCACTGATAGTTCTTAGCGAATGCAACCTTTTCATATCTAACATGTAATTAGTGTTAATTCTCTAATGCTTGTCTTTGTTTGTTTTAAAGATGTAAACTAATGGCCACCTTGTCAGTGCCTTTTTCCAAATGGGATACACGTTAGAGGCGTTCGCCTGTCTGTTCTAATTCCCCGCCCTGCTTTCTATTAGCCTGCAGACGGGGTGCAATGTGCAAATTACTCATCGGAAATGATTAATTCAGCACAAGATTAACAGCTCTGGCTCTATTTCACCCAAAGCTAATTTAGCAGCCAGGGAGGAGATTGGCTTTATTGCTAAACAAGGCTATTTTCTTTCTTCTCTTGTTTCTTAGTTTAGTTTTCTTAGTAGACAGGTTTAGAGAAATCACACAAATTGGCTAAAGAAAAGGAAAGATTTTGGCTGCTTCGGCACAACCGTTTGTCATAAACCCTGCATTTTGCTGCTTGAATTCATTCCAGTCCTGCATGATAGTTTGATGCACGTGCTTTCTAGCTAGTGTTTGTGAGACACTTTAGAATGGAAGTAAATGGTGCAAATTTTATGGACAAATCTGAAGCTTAATAAAAAAAAAGACACTTATATTCCTCTGTTACAACACGTATATTATTTAAGCTCAACGACATTTCATATAACTTTAAACCAAACAGGTTAGTGACTAAACATATATTGTGCACGTTTTGTGAGTAATTTAACATTTATGAATTTGCCCAATTCACTTTCAGTGGAACTGTCAATGTATGGAGGAGGCTAGAAGTGAATTTTTGTGGTAAATTTTGCTGTCTGTTGTACTTAATCTAGAATATTCCAGTTTATCTTTGCCAGAATAGTGTCTTCTATTTGCCATATTGATAAATGTTTCACAACTCTGAAAATGTACAGCTTTGGATAAAACTATCTGCCAAATGCTTAAATGAAAAATGTTAATCGTAATGTGAATTTTGACCTTGCAATTTTGACTTAGTAGGCTTTCCTGAAGGCCATCTCTTGCACTGTACACTCTCTATCTTTGTGGACAGCCAGATTCATCCTTTCTCTGTCCCCGTCCTTCATGGCAGACACCATATTGATCCCTGACGCCCTGTAATAGCTCTAATTGAAGGCCGTCACACTCTGTGTGTGATATATATCCGTCCATCTGACCATTAAAAGGCGTTTTAGCTGCTGTCATGAATGCTGGGATGATCTGTGATTTGGTATTGATTAAACAGCGCACCCTTTAGCCGTAGTGCTGTGTTTAGACCGATGGTCACAGACGTCTGGCCGTGTGATTTTGGTAGGGTGGCTTTTACAGCTGTTAGTTACAGCAATTTTCTCCATGCTGTTTTTTCAGTGTGTATGATGGGGTCAGAGCTTGTCTTTTCAGCACTGTCAGGAAGACTGATCTTTGCCACACTACTCTGGGAGATTGTGTTCTCTTGATGTTGCCTAGTTGTTGTTTAGAAAAGCTCCCTGGGGATATATGAACTTGGTCCCTGCACACCATTTCAGGCTTTGTGTGTGTGTGTGAGACTCTCCTCTCCTCAAACCTTCATAAAGGTTTCTTGCATTGAACCTGGTTGGCTTTGTATTATTTGATGCACTGTGGCATTATAATTGAGTTCTGCTGCATTATAATTAGGGCTGTCAAATGAGTAAAATATTTTATTCTCAGAATTGTTTTTGTAGTTAACATGTTAATACATTCACTTCCTCTTTAAAGGAATAATTCACCTGAAAATTAATATTCTGTCATCATTTACCGACCCTCATGTCACTCCAAACGTATTTTTCTGCATGATACAAAAAGGAGAGAATTGAATGAATATTCAGTTACTTAAATTCAGTTCAATACATCGTATTTTGCTTGGAAAATGAGCGGCACTTGAAATGTGAGCAGTGCACCACATATTTTTTAATGACTCTCCTTTCAGTGTTAAAGTGAATTTAGAAGGACATGAAGAGGAGTACATGATGAGAGCATTTTTCATTTTGAGCTGAACTTTCCTGGACTTTATGCATTTAAAATTAGGCTGCAGTACTGTGATGCACTTCTCATTAATGTTTGTACAAATGACGGTGTGTTTGCTCATGAGTTGTATTTCATTTGTCTTAATGGCAATAAAAACTTTTCATCTTGACAGCCCTAATTACAATACAATGGCAGTCACTTATGAGCAAAATGCAACATCTAACATATACAGTATTTAACACACATCTTCTTAGAAACCTTAAAGGGATAGTTCACTCAAAAATGAAAATTCTGTCATCATTTACTCACTCATGTTGTTCCAGACCTCTATGACTGTCTTTCTTTTGTGGAGCATAAAAGAATATATTTTGAAAAGTGTGATTTTTGTGTTTCCAATTCAGTGGAACTCTATGTTCACCAAAACTGTTCGGTTACCAACATACAAAATATCATCTTATGTGTTTTGCAGAAGAAAGTCAGACAGGTTTGGAGTGAGTAAATGATGACAATATTCAAATTGACATGTGCTTTTCTCCAAGTGACTTACATTGCATTCAAGATATTCATTTTATCAGTTCATACATTCCCTAGGAATTGAACCCACAACCTTGGCAATTGTGGTGTTAATGTTTGGGTGAACTATCATTTTAAAGACAGGTGAATCTACATGTGTATTTTTTTTTAAACCTACGAGCCTGTGGATTGTTTAGAACATGACAGAACTGCTGCTAAATACTTGAGTTTTTGTGTATGCACAAAGATCTTACTGTCATGTCTGCCCTTTTCAAAATGGCACCCAAACATGTCAAATGAAAGGTCAGTGATCTCAGAATAGCATTGAAGACATCACAAACATTTGACTCTCATGCTAGCGTTATTAGATATGAGTCATGTCCATCTTGAAGTGTTTATTTGCCATGTTTTCTATTTATTTCATGTTTTAACGTGTGATATGCAGGGATACTTAAAGCAGCCATGAACCTTTCTGAAAAGGAGTCTGATCTCATTTACTAAAAGGATGCTGGGAGATCATGTCCCCATTTGCTTCACCTCCCTCCATGGGTAGTTAAAACAGATAGCATGTCCCTGCAGCACAGACACAGCAGGTCAAGTGCACACCGCAAACAGACCACCGTTAGCTTCACTCTTTGAGCAGATGTGGACGGTTGTAAATCACACTAAATGGCACTCAACAGCAGAGCGTTTTCAAAAACTTCTTTGTTACTCTCAGTAATTTATCGACAAAGGCTCAGCGCTTACATTTGGTTCTGGGTGGAAGTGTAGTCCTGTGGAAAATTCACTCTGTACATTAGCTGGTCAGACAATAGCAGACTGCTTTTTTGTCTCAGCATTTTTCTTTAAAAGTATTGTAATAATGCACCTCACCATAATTTGGTTTTTATGCTAATATTTTATTTGTACATAATAGCCTATCATCTGTGTGGAATAACAGTGTTTGCGCAGTGATGTTATTTGCATAATGATATTGTGTTGGTATGCCATCGTATTACTATATAAATATACGACAAGGGGATTGTGCATGATTTATTGTTTGAATATTAAAGCTTTGTTTATATTGCATGAAATATTTTTTACATTAGAGTTACCTTAAATGCTCAGCTGTGGCAACATGCACCTTTTTTATTAATTAATTTATTGATTTATTTGTTGAGAAAAGGAAAGACCAAATGTGGGGAAAACAAACAGTTTATTTAAATTGTAAAAACATGAAATTAATTCATGTTAGCTAACTGTATGATTCTATTACCTTGAACTGTTCATTTGTGAAATGAACATTACTTGGACACATTCACTTCTGATAACAGACCACTCTAAATTGTAATGTAGACATATGCATTTTCTGTAAAGCTGCTTTGAAATAATGTGTATTGTGAAAAGCGGTATACAAATAAATTTGAATTGAATTGAATTGAATTTAAACCTTGATTTTAAAACAAAACAATTTTGGGAGGAGAAAGTGTACTTTAAAATTAAATATTATTTGTCTGAGATAAATTTGCTAAGAATTTGGTGTCTTCTCTTCTATCCTTACAGTGGAGGGCGCTGTTACTCTGTAGCATCAGAAGGAACAGTTTTCCCTCTCTTTTCACTTTCTCCTTTGCATTGTGTTTGACCTCTGTATGCCATCAAGGCTGCGAGGCTGGACTGTGAACCTGTTTCGCTTTGTTTGTAGGAGAAATGTTCATCTTACATGCCTTAGTCATAAGAATGGGTATGCTTCTTGTGTGTGTGTGTGTGTGTGTGTGTTTCTTTTTCTTTTTTTTTTGTGCAGATGCTCTACACATCTGCCAAATGCACCTCTCCCAAACACCTGCTCCCTTCCAAAAACTCACGTAAACTCTTAAAATATTAATTCATATTAATTAGATATATATGTGACCTTGGACCACAAAACCAGTCTTAAGTCGCTTGGGTGTATTGATTAGTAATATGCATTGCTAAGAACTTAATTTGGACAACTTTAAAGGCGATTTTCTCAGTATTTTGATTTGTTTGCACCCTCAGATTCCAGATTTTCAAATAGTTGTAACTCGGCCAAATATTGGTATACCCTAACAAACCATACATCAACAGAAAGCTTATTTATGCAGCTTTCAGATGATGTATAAATCTCAATTTCAAATAATTGACCCTTATGACTGCTTTTGTGGTCCAGGGTCACATATTAGTAACTAAAGTGTACATTAGTAATATACTAAAGTGTATATTAGTTCCTAAATTGCACATATTAGTACCTTTTGAAAGGGTTCTGCCCCATTGACAGTTTTTGTACCTTTTTTCTGAGTGTACAGTTACATTTTTCACTTTTAGATGCCCTTTATATAAGGTATGGAAGAAAAAAATTCATCAGCATCAGTTTCCTGTTATCATTTAATGTTAATATCCGTAAAATAAGATCCGTTTAAACTAACTTTGTACAAAAATAAAGCTTGAATTTGAATTATGCTTCGAACAAGAAAATAACTAATGTGGTAAGAAAAATGCACTTATGTCAAGTCTTATCTCAGGCTGGAATTAAATTGTTTTTTTTTTTCTTTCTTGTTTTAAAGAAAAACACATTTATCCAAAGTCACTTGGATTGCATTTTTCAGTTCCTGATTCCCTGGGAATTGAACCCATGACATTGGCATAGCATCATGCTCTACTGTTTGAGCTGCAGGAAAGCCATTTCATAATTTTTGAGCAATGTGGTAAGAAAAATAAACTGAACTTAAGACATATTCTGTGGAAAAGTCTTATTTTCTTACACCATTTAGCTTCTCAGGTAAATTTATTTCACTTTAAGAATTACAAAAAATGATTTAAGATAATGTGCAGTATTACCTCCTTGCTGATCGTTGATCCAATGATTGTTCTTCTTTTCATTCACTTCTGGGCCTCAGTGCATTCAGCACCTCAGTAAAATTGACCCAGGAAAGCTGTATTTTTTGCTAACTCATTCTACAGGAGCAGATTGTAAAAGAAGCAGTGTAACAGCCATTCTCTAGGGAATGGAGTGCGGTTATCAGTCTGATTAACAGTGAACTTGCAGCCGGAGGATGTTTCTTAAGGATGCAGACAGCTGTTCAACCTTCCCCTGAGAGGAGAAGTGATAGGGTTCGGCCTCACTGATGAAAAAAAACCTTGCATGATTAAACCGAATATTACATTTGTTTAAAGTTTGATAAAGTCTTATTAATCTTTAATGTTCTTACATCATCTATTCAGTGATAATTAGCACCCTTTCTCAAGCTGAAGGCACACTGACTCACATATATTAGCTCTGTGCTGGCTCTGCTGAATGAAGGATGTTTGATTGACATGTTCCTCGACTGCTTTGTTTCTGCTGGGAAGATGTGAATGTGTGTACAGATGCTGTCTGTCAAAAATCATGTATTTTGAGGTTAAATAAGCTATTAGAGAAATGGTTCAACTGAAAATGGAAAATTCTGATAACATTTACTCAACCCTCCTTTTATTTTAATTAATGCTGTTCAGTTGCTTTGACACAATCTGTATTGTTAAAAGCGTAAAATAAATAAATAAAGGTGACTTGACTTATTTCAAACCTTTCTTGGAACACAAAAGGAGATGTTCTGTTTGCTGTTTTCCATGTAGTTGCAATTAATTAGCACTGGACTTTTCAAGTTTGAGAAAAAGAACATAAACGTGGTCCGTGTGCAAATGTCCAAGTCTTCTAAAGCAATCTTTGGTTGAAAAACAGCTTATAGAAGACAAAATAAGTGAATAATGACTTGGAATGAGGATGATGTAATTTAAATGTTTGCACCAACTTTCAACTTTAATCTTGTTCTGAGAAGATTTTTAAACCCATACAATGCTGTTTAAAAAGTTTGGGGTCAGAAAGATTTAAGTTAATATTTTTATTAAGCAAGGATGTGTAACATTGCTAAAAAGACAATAAATACATTTATAATGTTAAAAAAATCTATTTAAAATAAAAGTTTTTTTTTTTTCTATTAATTACATGTTCTATTAGTTACACGTTTTCCACAAAAATATTAAGCAACATAACTTTTTCAGCATTGATAAGAAGAAGAAGAAATGTTTTTATGCAAATCAGCATATTAGAATGATTTCTAATGTGACACTGAAGACTGGAGTAATGATGCTGAAAATTCAGCTTTGCCATCACAGGAATACATTTTACAATTACATTTAAAAATATTTTAAAGTAGAAAATAGTTATTTTAAATATTTCACAATATTACTGTTTTTA